AATCTTGCCATTTGCAACAATGTGGATGGAACTAGAGCGTGTGATGCTAAGCGAAGTAAGTCAGTCAGAGAAAGACAAATACCATATGATTTCACTCATATGTGGAGTTTAAGAAATGAAACAGATGAACATAGGGAAAAAAAGAGAGAGGCAAATGGTAGAACAGACTCTTGCTATGAAGAACAAATTGCGGGTTGCTGGGGGGTGGATGGGCTAGATGGAGGATGGGCATTAAGGAGGGCACTTGTGGGGATGAGCCCTGGGTGTTGTATGTAAGTGATGAATCACTGAATTCTATTCCTGAAACCAATATTATACTATATGTTAACTAACTGGAATTTAAATAAAAACTTGAAACAAAAAAATAAATTACACTAAAAAAAATAAAATAGGATGTGAGGGTGATCTGACTAGGACATCTGTCACCCCATTGATTGCCAGGGTTGATTGGGCTGATCTGGCTGGCCAGGCGGGTGTCCCCTTCCTCCCTCACTGTTCCATGTGCGTCCCTCCCACAGCTGCACACTCAGTGGAAGAGGATGACCCTCCCTGTTAGAGGAGGACTGTTCTTCTGTCAAGGGTATAGGAATAGCTGCGCTATTTACTCAACGTCCTCCAAACAAACTCAAGGTCCATTTGTAGGAGAACATAGGGTAGTCAAGTTTCCAGACACATCTAAATGAGGTGTCCATGTGGCAGTCTGCCTTTCTTTAATAAATAAAATAAAATAAAAGTAGAGGGAGATTGTCTCAGTGCCGGGTGCTGCCCCAGGAAGTCATGAGACTCCATCCCAGGGTAGGATTTCAGCAAAAGCTGGAAAGTCATCTGCCAGGAAAGCCTTAGAAGGGACATTTGCCTTCTATAGAAAAAGGGACGTGGTTACTACCTCCATGTTCACTCTCAACTTTCAACTGCATGAAATTGCATGACTCTATGAGAATTAAAGTAATATCACATCATTAAAACGTTAATTTGTACCTTTGTGCCTGTCCCACAATTGAATTTTCAGGAAGCTGATTACATTTCTTTCTATGGATTCAGGAAACCATTATTCCCCGTGATCTAATTTATTGAACATATTTTGGCCCTTACAGCTTATCCATCAGTCATCCCTAAACATAGTACAAATGATTAAGATGTTTAGTGTTGATGAACATCACTTCTTAGAAGAAGAGCAATGCTAGCATTGTAAGTACAGTAGGAAAACAACCGGCAGTTTTTCAGGACCTGAACCTGCGATCTTCTGCTGGAGAAAATCAGATCTCATCAGAAGTGTTTTACCTGCTGTTAATATAAATATTGGTGTTAAGATGAATTTCGGTGTTAATATGAATGTTGGGGTCAATATTTTTCTTACTGATTTCTTAGTTCCTCCTAACTTTTAAACTTAAAAGAATCTTTGGAACTAAATAAGCTGAAAATATCTTTTAAAAATAAGAAACACATTTAGATTCTGGTGCACAGCAAATTCTCTGTGAAGAAAAGTTCCAAATTTGTGATTCTATTTGCATTTCCATAAACACAGTGAATCTTTGTCTGAGCTTATTATGTGACAAATAACAGTGTTAGAAACGGGGTGTTTTAAGACTCTAATTATGCATATGCTCCCATTCTTGTTAGTGCATTTACAACGCAAAGCAATACAAAATTTGTACTTTTGGCTCAAGAGCTTTTTTCTTAAAATTGACAATTTAATGATTTTTTAACTAACATTGGCCTCATTTAATGTAATTAAAATATTAAAAAATAAAAAAAAAAAATGCAAAGGTGCCACTGCTCCCTGGGAACAGATCTGAGATGGAGAGGAGCATGCACCATGTCTGTGAGGGCGTGCCCTCAGGACAGCTGCCTGTGAGGGGGAGGGAAGAACTGAGCCAGGAGCAAGATCAGTGATCAGAGAGTTTGGGAGCCAGGCCCCAAGTTCTCACACTCCCATAAGGGTACCAGGTCCCAGGTACCCTTGGGAAGTTGAGGAAGGGACAGAGACTTCCAGAACTGTAAAGGCCATATAGTCAAGGACCACAGATGAATTAGGGGTAACTGGTGTGAATGGAAGTCCCTCACCCTGAAGAGGAATCAGGCAGCCCACACATACATTTGGGGCTCACCATAACCATGTTCCCACCTCTCTGGCTTGGTTAGCTAAAATTACTTAAATTTAAATAAAAGTAAACCTTTAGTAGCTCAGGTATACTGACAGATGTTTGGGAACCCCATGTTGGACTGCACAGAACATTTCCTTCATTGCAGAAAGTTCCAGTGGACAGTGTTGCTCCACCCAACGGTGCAGCCACGTGTCCCAGAGGTCCTGCTGCCTCCCTGAGACACTGCAGGAAGAAGGGGCCAGTTCTCATTACCCTAACATCAGCAACCTCTCCCTCTGCTCCCCTCAACTGCACGTGTCCCTGTTTAGTCCCCTCAGTTGTATCTTTTCCTTCATGTTTGATATTAATATGGCTTAATAAAATAGAACTGGGCTCAGTAGCTACTAAATAGTGTTTCCATGTCCTCAAGGATAGGCCAGGAAGGTGGGGGAAATATTTGCATTCATCACACTAGTTCAGTTAAACAAAAGGAGGAAAACTCAGTTAAGTTTTCATATTTAAGTAGTGTAAACACATACCTTACCAACATTAACATCTGAAAATATAACATCAATCATTAGCCAACAAGAAATTAATGGAACACAAAATTATGACATTAATGCATTTTAAAGCGTAGGAAATAAAACATGTTAGAATCAACCTCCTCCAAAAAACAAATAAAAAAACCAGTGTTTGATGATAATAGAATCTGCTTCGTTGGGCAAACCTTTCCATGAGTCACCTCCTTTAATTATTCAGTAAACATTGCATTGGTAGCTTTAGCTGCTGATTCTTCCACAGTATTCTTCTATAAGTTTTTGTTCTGCAGACTCTTTTAAAACGCTTCTGAACAAACTCTTCCAGACTTGAAATGTAGTGTCCTTGGTCCCCGCAATATTCACTGCTCTTTTCTCCCAGGGTCTCAGCACAAGTCTGGCCATTGCACAAACCATGTGTGGTACTTACAGGTATTTTTCCCAGTCAAGTATTCAGTAGATACACTGAAAGGGTGGGGTTTCAGCAGATCTTTCCTTTCTGCATCGTACAGGGGCCCTCCCATGAGGTCTATGGGAAGGGAAGGGCAAACCTATTGCATCTTCCTCTGCATAAGGGAGCTGCATGAAATCACACCCACAGATGGATTGAATTGTTGTTAAATATGATAAATATACAACTGCACTATCTAAAACACTGGTTCTATACCACAACATAGAAAGATTACCATCAAGGGATAGTTATCCATCAGGCATTCACCTCCCCAAATTTGATTCTTTATTTTTTTTAAGATTTTATTTATTTATTCGACAGAGAGAGACACAGCGAGAGAGGGAACACAAGCAGGGGGAGTGGGAGAGGGAGAAGCAGGCTTCCCTGCCAAGCAGGGAGCCCGATGCGGGGCTCGATCCCAGGACCCTGGGATCATGACCTGAGCCGAAGGCAGACGCTTAATGACTGAGCCACCCGGGGGGCCCGCCCTAAATTTGATTCTACCGTCCCTCAGATTAGGATTCATTACTTTATTTCTTTGTTCACCATTCACTTCCTTAAACATTCATGTGACAAACAACGGGATAGGCTTTCTGGGGCTCTGACCAATGGGACATACAACCAAGAATCGTTAGTCAGATGGGAAACAGATTACCCCATCTAATAATTGGATTAAGGGGCCACCGCTCTGATTCAGAGGTTTGGTAAAGCTTGGATTGGAGAATCTAGCTTAAGATTGAGACTACCTTGGGGCTTCTGATTACCTTCCCATGCGCAGATAATGAGTCCAGTATGCTTGCCTGAGCCTGCAGATGGGAGTGGGGATGGTGACCAGACCCTCCAAGTCCAAGCCTAGTCTGTTTCTTCATGGATCTGACCATTGCTGTGCAGTAAGTGAAGTCTCAGGCCCAAAAGAGAAAGGGCAGCAATGTCCCTCACCTGCAGAGGAGTGACCCTGCCCACCAGTGAGATATGGCCAGTAAATGAAGTACTTCTTCCCCAAAGAAAAATGATTAGGGTGGAGAGGGAAATGTACACACTCCAGACCTCTCTCTTCCCTGGAAAGAAAAGGCAGGAGCCGCCATCTTGGTCAGTGGATGAAAACAACACGAAAAGAGGAGTTTTAAAATTCCTTCTATCTGCCTACAAATAATCCTTGTCTCATAGGAATACTGGGAGTTAGGGGTTAAATAAAACAGGTGAACTGCCTCATATTGGCAGGCATATATGTCCAGCGTGGTGTCTGGGTCTAGTAAATGGCCACATGTTCTCTTCTGCCCCCACACTCTTGTACCTTTGAGCTTCCTAAGGGAAAGGTGCTGGGTGTGAATAATCTTTGCTGTATGTTTGTTGGATTAAATCAGTTTTATTTATTGAGAACTCAACATCCTTAGCACTGAGCTTATTTGGTTTAAAATAAGTGGAAGAATTACAGAATTTTTACAGAATTTTTCATACCAGAAGTGGCCTTCGAGCTCATATCTCATGGGGTTCAGTGTGCCGGGAAGGTTGGGATTTGGGCTTCCACCTCGGTGTGCTTCCCGCTGCAACATGCGTGTGGAGCGGGGCAGCTCAGAGGCAATGTCTCCACCACATCTGTATTCCCACCCCCCGACCCCCAAGCAGTGTCTGGCATGTCGCTGGCTCTCAGAAAATATTTGTTACATGAATTGATTCACTGTATTCCTCTTGCTGGGCCTTTGGCAGATGAAGGATAGCTTGTGGCTTTGCAAGAGTATTGTGCACAGATACAATTTGTGATATAATTTTCTCATACCACATACAGGGGCATATAGTTAGATTCTTTTATGGACTGTGTAGAGAAAATTAAAATGTTTTAACTTCTTAAAAATACATAGATAGTGTATATTTTTGAGGGTATATCAGAGAGTAATGTACCACTTAGTGCGTGTTGTATTTTGCTTTCAGGTAGACGGAGTAATCACAGGTTGGAGACAAACATCAAAGCCTGGGGAAAGTACCTTGGACAGCAGCAGAGAGCACTCGAACCAAAGGTACCACCTCCCCAGCTGTCTGTCTTGAGCTTTATTATCGTTCTCTTCATTGTCATTTGGTGTCTAGAATGTACCTTCCCCAGAGATACAGTTATTTAAAGTCTATAAAGGATTCCTGCTGTAAATGTTAATGTTTATTTCCAAAATGTAGACTCTCGATTTGTAGGGCTCTTGATCCCTAAAAAAACAAACCTTGTGTACGTACAGGCCCCAGTTACTTGTGACGATAATGGTAAGACTGATGATGTCAGCATCAGTGACCACTAACACTGACTGAGCACTCCCTTTGTATCAGGCACTGTTCTGTGTGCTTCACGCATATTAACACACTTTGTCCTTCCCAATTTTATCCTCAGCTTACAGACAGGGCAAATGAGAGAGAGAAGTTTAGGATGTCTGAAGTTCGGGTAGCCGTAATATGTCACTTCATAGATCCTAAAACTCTCAGGGATGCAAGGGCCAAGAGGCCCCATCATGTACCCTCCTGTCAACCTCCTACTCACAGGTGATCTTCAAGCCTCTGCGTCAACCTCTCTCCCACCGGCTCCCTCCTTGCTCTCCATACTCCCCAGTGGCAGGAAGCCTCTCCTCCACTCCCCGCTGAACATTCTAGTTCTGCAGCCTGAAGACCCTCAGAACAAAGCCCAGCTCCTGTGAGCAGTGGCATCCCTTAAAGTATTCTGGACAGAGGTCTCCTCGTTTCAGTTCTTCCTTAGAATGCACATCCCAGGCCTTTCGGCTTTCCTTCTGCGTGTCATGATTTCCAGACTCTTACCATCCAGATGGCAAAATCTATTTTGAACCCAGGCAAACTATCTTTGTGATACAAATGTATATGCTGAAATTATCATCACAAAAATACCTGAACAAGAGCTATATTTACGTCTTGCATAATACAAGCAGTCAGGCATTCATATATTCTGAGTCAACTGTGGAAGTTCTGTGGATTTTCAAACGGGTTTGTCTGAACAACAGGTGTGGAGTTGGATTCCTTCTGAAAGGTGGGTTTCTGTTTTTAACCTTGGAGACCCACTCTCATATTTCCTAGTTTAGTGGCTTCCATGTCAGACATATGTGTAACTTACAGAGATTCAAGGGTATTACGCTATTACGAATATCCATGGTCATAATTGACCCCCAGCAGCATCCACACATGTAAGGAGTGTGAATCCAGTTTGTAAGGAATCGCAGGAACAGGAAGCCAAGTCATGGCAAACAGCATGGAGCTGGTCTTCAGACCCCGGGGAGATCACCATTACAGTGATTACTTCCTATGTTACATTTGCAAAGCCTCTCTTGTTCGTTTGTACTGCTGAGAAATAACCACCTCCCAGCTATGCATTACATATCTATGTGAGGGTTGTTCGTGGCAGCGCTCCTTCATCATTGACAAACGTCACCATCCACGTCACCTCAGCCTCTGGCTGGGCGATCCCATGAACCAAACAGCTGCCTGTGGAGGCTGCACGTGGGAACGAGGTCAGGCAGCTGTGAGCTCAATGGGGAGGAGGATGGCGGACCTAACAATAGACCTCTCATAGCTAGAGCGAGCCTTTGCTCTTACTATGTAGACAGAGTGACTGCAGGCGGAAGATCAGTGGAGTAAGGTTCTGTTCACTGGGACCAGAGGGGATCATGTTTTGTGGGAAGGTAACCGATGCTGTGAACTCTCATAGTCCCATGACACTGTCTGATCAAGGAGGACACATAACTTGCTCAGAATGGTTTTATTGAGTGTGGAGTGCCTAGTCTGTGCTCCATGATACTCTGTCTTTCATCTTCAAAATTACTGTAAGAGAAATTGGGTTATTCCTAATGGACTGAGGTTCAAAGAGATTAATTTGCCCAAGATCACAAAGTTGCTAAGTGATAATAGAGCCAGAATTATAACTCTTAGTCTGTTCTTGGGCTTGCCTTCCTACTACATTCATGGAGTCTTTTTTTTTTTTTTTTTTTAATATATAGACATTTTTCTTTAGAGCAGTCTTAGGTTCACAGAAAAATTGAGTGAAAAGCACAGAGATTTCCCATATGTCCATGGCCCCCACTCATGCACAGTCTTCCCCACTGTCAACATCTACCACCAGAGTGGTACATTTGTTACAGCTGTTGAACCTACATTGATGCACATCATTATCACCCCAAATTCATAGTTTACATTAAGGTTCAAACTCAGTGTTGTTCATTCTGTGGGTTTTGACAAATATATAATGACAGTTATCTACTGTCATAATATCATAGAGAGTAGTTGCACTGTCCTAAAAATACCTGTGCTTCACCCATTTATCCCTCTCTCCCCCACCCCCACCCCTGGCAACTATTAATCTTTTTACTGTCTCTCTAGTTTTACCTTTTCCAGAATGTCTTAGAGTTGGAATCATTTAGTATGTAGCCTTTTCAGATTGGCTTCTTTCACTTAGTAATACACATTTAAGGTTCCTCCATGTCTTTCCATGACTTGACAATGTATTTCTTTTTAGTGCTGAATAATACTCCATTATCTGGATGGACCACAATTTATTTATCCATTGGCCCACTGAAAGAAATCTTGGTTGCTTCCAGTTTTGTGAAATTATGAATCAAGCTGTTATAAACACAGTGTGCAGGTTTTTGTGTGGACATAAATTCTCAACTCCTTTGGGTAAATACCAAGAAGTGCGATTGCTGGATTGCACGGTTAAGGGTGTGTTTAGTTATGTAAGAAAACTGCCAAACTGTCTTCCGAAGTGGCTGTACCACTCTCCATCCCTGCTAGTAATGTATGAGAGTTCCTGTTGCTCCTCATTCTTGCCAGCGTTTGGTAGTGTCAACGTTCTGGACTTTGGCCATTCTAACATGCACGTACTTGTATCTCCTTGTTGTTTTAATTTGCATTTCCCTGATGACATATGGTCTGGAGCATCTTTTCATTTGCCAATTTGCCAGCTGTACATCTTCGCTGGTGAGGTGTCTGCGAAGGTCCTTGGCCCATCTTCCAATCACACTGTTTTCTTATGTTTGAGGAGTTCTTTGTATGTTTTGGATAACAGTCATTCATCAGATGTTTTTTGCAAATATTTTCTCCCGGTCTGTGGCTTGTCTTGTCTCTCTCCCAAAATCGTCTTTCATGGAGCAGAAGTTTTTAATTTTAATGAAATCCAGCTTGTCAACTATTTCTTTCATGGACTGTGCGTTTGCTGTTGTACCTAAACTGGCATCGCCGTACCCAGGGCTGGTTAGCTCTTCTCCCGCGTTCTCTTCTGGGAGTTTCACAGTTTTGCATTTTGTGTTTAGGTCAGTGATCCATAGTGAGTTAATTCTCGTGAAGGCTGCAAGGCTTATGTCTAGATTCATGTTAAATATACCCATGTTGTATTAATTTTTTAGGTGTATGGTATTTTGACGCTATCAGAAATGTGTTTTGGGGCGCCTGGGTGGCTCAGTTGGTTAAGCGACTGCCTTCGGCTCAGGTCATGATCCTGGAGTCCCGGGATCGAGTCCCGCATCGGGCTCCCTGCTCGGCAGGGAGTCTGCTTCTCCCTCTGACCTTCCTCCTTCTCATGCTCTCTGTCTCTCATTCTCTCTCTCTCAAATAAATAAATAAATAAATAAATCTTAAAAAAAATGTGTTTTTATTGCTAGTATACAGATTTGCCATTGATTTTTTTATCGTGGTAAAATACACATAACATAAAATTCACCATCTTAAGTATCTAAAAGTATACAACTCGGTGGCATCTATGGCAATAATTTACAACCATCACCTGGTGGAAGATGATGGTGGAAGTGAAAAGTAATTCACTTTTGTGTTTGATTTTGTACCTGGCAACCTTGCTGATCTCTCGTCTGATTTTATTAATTTGTTGGTCCTTTTGGATTTTCTATATATCTACAGAGAATGATGACTTTCTTTCTTCCTAATCTTGTATCTTTTACTTCTTTTTCATGCCTTAGTGGGTAGGGAAAGGCACCAGTACGATGTAGAATGGAGATGAAGAGCGGGCATCTTTGCCTGATTGCCAGTCCCAGAAGAAAAGTTCAACATTATGCTATTAAGTCTGAAACATCTTATTGGTTTCATAATTCATTCTTTCATATTCAAAATCTGAGGTTGTTTCTATTTGTGTTCTTACTGCTTCTGCTTGTTCTCATGCAAAGTGACCCTTTTCCTTGGGTGCTCTTAATTTTGATGGTGAGCTGCTCCATTGCCTTGGGAAATAGTTTGGGGGCTTCTCAGAAGCCTGGGAGGTGCTGAGCCTGGGAAAAAAATAGGCATGTGCTTTGGGGCAGACCCTACCTGAGGACACTGCCAGTTCGGAACCACTTTACTCTAAATTCAAGACCGGTGGTTTTTAACCATGGCTTTCCCAACACAGCCTTTCTCTGTCCCACTCTTCTCACAGTCCCCAGGGTGGTGGGCAGAGTGGGTTTACTTTTCATTCACTCTTACATGACAGAAAAGCCTTCTGGTAGAGAGGCTGTCCTGTCAGACTGCTCACCTGGCACACTCAGGGCCTTGACCTCTGTTCCCAGACTCCATAAGGCCAGCAAGACCAAAAAGCACCACTTTAGGGGCTCAGCAAATTCCCTCAGGGCAAAGGTGACTTCAGGGATCTACTTCCTCCCTCCTTCCTCCTTTTACTGAATTCTGCCCTTAGGGTTCCTTATTATCTTATCACATCTTTCCTGACCTCCCTAAAGTTTTTAATGGGAGGCAGGAATCTTTGGTCCAAATATGCTAGCCTTCCATATTACCAGAAGCAAGTTCTTTCCTTATGTTCTTTAATAAAAGGAATCAGTCTTTGATGTGTTTTATGCCTAGTGATTTTAGACCTTTTCTCTTGCTTTCTTCCATGGTGATAAAAATATTCATTTTGCTTTCCAGTTATTCTTAACTAGACTCCAGAAGTTCTGGTGCTGACAGTCAGGTGGTGGGTAAATCTAAACTGGTAATGGGCATCTGTTGGGCATCTGACATTGAGGGGGACAAAAGCCCCTCTCCTCTTTATTTTGGGATTAGTGTGATCCACAGGTGCCCCTGGCCTATCTGCTCACTGTCCATTACCCAGAGACTCATGACCAATTAAAGTCCTACATGCAAATTATTCCTCACAACATCTGAAGGGGGTGACATCTGGCTGAGTTCAGTGTTTATTACTAAGATCCAGAAGTTGTGGCCCAAGAGGTATATGCCTGGAAGTGAGATAGGCTGCTTTTCCTCAAAGTCAACATAATTATAATAGACGAATTTAGGTATTTACTTAATTAAGTCATAGATACGATAGCCTTTTAAATAAGAGCATGGGAATTAAAATGTAAAGCTATACTTAATAATGACTACATAGTTTATAGCATACAGTCTGGGTCTTTGGAATATTTATGCTTTATATTCTTTGTATACATTACACTCTCCTTCAGCGGGTCCATGTGTATTAGTCAAAACACTGAGAAAAATAAAAACCTCAAGTGCCTTCAAGGGCTACTCAGCCAACAGGAATGAGGGGGGAAAGGTTACAAGAACAACAGAGGGTTTACACTCTCCAGAGAAAGTCAAACCTCCCTCCCCACCATACACTGTGTCTGAGGACATCAGTATGGAGCTCCTGGATGAAGCCAACTGTGATTTTCTGTAGGTCAAGATGTCTTATTTAATTTCAGGATTGCACAGTAGTATAAGGTTTTTTTCATTTATTTAACATGTATTCAGTAAAGCTATATACCAAAGATACAAGGTGAAAAAGACAATATAATTGCTTCAAGGACGCTGGTCTAATAGGGAGAACAGACCAATAATGAGACAATTACATGATAATGTGATAAATGTTCTATTCGAGCTCTATGCTGTACTGTTAGATGCTACTAGGAAACATGCCTATTTGCACAGACCATAGGATGGCTGGGGGCTGGAATAGAGGCACTTAATATATTCTGCTGAATGACTGACAGAATGACCAGTACAGTGATTCCAAAATAAGTTGATTATCAAAGGCACTGGGGGGAACTTGATATAAATACAGAGTACTGGGCCCAACCCCAGACCTACAGATTGAAATTACCAGGGAAGTAGCCCAGTGACCTATAGTATCTAGAATTTTCTATATGATGGAGGCATGGGGATCTTTCTTGTTCTGTTTTCACGTAACTGTCACCAAGAGATCTGAGTGCCGGCAGCAGGAGTGGGATCTTGTGGGGGAAACTGGTGGACAGAGCTTTCTAGGCACCCAAATGTATATAAATGCTCCTGCATGCAGGCTGGATCATCTAAAGCAGCAGGGTCCAGGAGCCTGATTAACTACATTCAGGAGTAAGACCTGTCCATAGTGGTTCTGTTATTGATCCTGGCTGTGGGGTTTGCCTGCTGTATCATTTAAAGATTCTCAGGTGTGGGGCACCCGGCTGGCTTAGTCAGTAGAGCATGCAACTCTTGATCTCAGGTTGTGAGTTCGAGCCCCATGTTGGGTATAGAGATTGCTTAAAAATTAAATCTTTTAAAAAGTGAATAAATACAGATTCTCAAATGAGCAGAGTCTCCCAGCCTAACTCTCCAGCACTTTACTTCTCCACTCTTGCTCCTACAGGGCTCTGAGCTACCTGAAACCAGGGACAGTCTCTTATTGTATCTCTATGCTGTGTGCTCTATAAGCATCTCTATGCTCTAAGGATAGCACTTGCTGATGTTTGCTGAATAAATGAATGAATGATTGATTCTGTTTGAAATTTCATTTAAAAAGGCATCTCAATTTCCTTTTGCCTTTTTTGCTGTTGTAGAAGCAAGCAAATTGAGAAACTAGAAGTAGATCCTAGCAAGCATTCCTTCCCTGATGTGGCTAACATAGTTCAAGAGAAAAAACACAGGCCCCGAAGAGTTCAATCTGAACCCAAAATTACAGCAAGTGAGGAAGATCCCGACTTTGAAGATAACCCTGAAGTGCCTCCATTGATTTGAAACATCAGGCTGCATCGATGGACCCACCAGACCCAGTTCTGTTCATTGCAGAGTGTGTGCAGACCATTTACGGTAAACACAGAGTTATTTATCAACGTTACTACTCCAGTGTTTTAGCTTCTACTTTATACAGTAATATTCTTAAACTAGTTTAAAATTCAAATGTTCACCTTAAAATGCTATAACTCATTTGTCTATAATAAAATGCTCCTAGTGCAAATGTTCCATAAATCAAAGAACTATTACATTAAGACGTTGATTTTCAATCATAGGACTGGCTGCTAATGCAGACAGATGAAGTCAGAGATAAAAGGCCTGATTATTAAATTGGTACTTCAGCAAATTGGTCAAGCTCAGAAGTTAAAACTGTAATTTCAGATCGAATCGGAATGCTTTAATATGATTTTAGCAGTGTTTCAATTTTCTTCTCATGATTATTGGTGGTAATACCTTGGAATGATGAAGAGGAGAGCGAGCAGAGGTAGGAAGGGAGAACCTCTAAGGCTGTAGATATAGGCTTGACTTCCACAAAATGAGGGGAAGGAGGTGGAGGGAGGGGGATGGAGGATGGGCTAAATGGAGCCTTGGGAGACAGCGCAGCTCTGAGAGCACTCCAGCCAGCCCAGCGGGAGCTCTAGCACAGGGTTGTCCACAGAAGACGAGCCTCTTGGGTCAAGATGGCTGAGCCCAGCTACCCCTGCCATATTCAGGTCTTGGCCAGTAGCTCCCTGCCCTGAGACTGGTGGCCAGGGCGGGAGACTTTTGGTGCTCTGTACTCCTTGTGCAGATTCTCTCTTGGGGAGAGCTGAGCTGGGCGCCTCTGTCGTGCCACCAGGAGGTTACAGAAGCTCCGCCAGCCTTGAGGAGGCTGTCCTGAGGGCTTATGGGAAAGAAGAAAGTGCTCTTCAGTGCTGGGGGAAAGGAGACCCCTGGACATAGAGGAGGAAAGGTTAGCAGAGCTGTTGCCTGGAGTCACGTGGAAACATTATAAATGTACCTCCTGCCTGAGTAGGTGTAGGGAAAGAGATTTCCAAGTAGAATGCCAGAGGACCACTAGTGTTTTTAGCTCCAAATCAAAAGACACAAATAGGGCACCTGGGTGGCTCAGTCGGTTAAGCGGCTGCCTTCGGCTCAGGTCATGATCCTGGAGTCCCGGGATCAAGTCCCGCATCGGGCTCCCTGCTCGGCGGGGAGCCTGCTTCTCCCTCTGACCCTCCCCCCTCTCATGCTCTCTGTCTCTCCTTCTCTCTCTCGCAAATAAATAAAATCTAAAAAAAAAAAAAGACACAAATAATTGGTCCATTTTCAAGCAGCATTTAGAGAAAATATAAAGGAACTAAACTGGCTAGGTTCAAAAATAAAACTTTTTCATCCCAGTCTCTCCCAATTGAAATAAAAAAACAGCCTCCCCCTGACTGTGAACCACATTGTTGTTTTGGGTCTCCCAGGAACTACCAGCAGTTTAGAATTGGTGTCTAGTAACCCCTGAAAACTCTGTTTATCAATGCACAGTCATCCAGGGTAAGTGCAGACCTCTTTACAGAAGGCTAGGAGGAAGATTCACAGGATAAAATCTGGGCAGTGTAGCAGGGATCTCCAACGAGATCCAGCCATGAGGTAGTGAGCCATGGGCATACCTGGGGGAAGAGTGTCCTAAAAACTGAGAACAGCATGTGCAAAGGCCCTGAGGTAGCACATGGTTTCAGGAACAGCCAGTAAGCCAGGGTGACTGGAGCAGGCTGAGCAGGGCAGAGTATCAGAGAAGGGCTGGGAGAGCTAATGGAGAGGCGGCCCTGACAATGCTTGATCTAAAAAGGCAAGCCTACCACTGGGCAATCATATTGCTCCCAAAGGAGTGTCTTTGGATTTTGTAGCATTTTGTTTTTGGGGTTTTTTGCCAAATATTTTCCTATGCCCATCTCGTTTTTGATCTTAGGAGAAATCCTCTCAACTAAGCATTTGTTCATTTTTCATTCAATAGGAATGTGCCTACCGTGGACCAAGTACAGGGAGTATAATAGTGAACCCAAAGAAACATCTCTTGGGTTTCACTGAGCCTATATTTTTGTGATGCAAACAAATGTGGATCAATTATACTAGCAAACTGAGCTAACTTTTCTGAACCCACTGTTATGTTTTACAACTGAGACTCCCAAAGATCAGGTGGCTTGCTCTAAGATAGCACAACAAGATGTTAGAATGAGATTCTCATTAAGTCATTTTTGACTGGGTTTCTAATATGAAAGACTTTTACCTACCAAAGTGAATGATATGGTTCACATGGCAATGTTTTCAAAGAAAATAGGCACAAACCTACTTCATGAATCTTAAAAAGACTCACTCCCTTTGGAAATATGAAAAGAAGTATGAGGGTAGAGGGGCTTTGTGGGGGATGATGTCTTTGGGGGTGAAGATGGATGAACACATGTCTTTGGAGAGAGCTGTTACCTTACTGTGAGCTCCACTTCCGATTCGGGGCTCCTCCTCTGTAGCCCAAGCTTAGTGAGAGGGCCTCCAAAGGGTTGAACCAGGGAGTTTTGAAGAGTTTCCTGAAGTCTGGGGACACACAGGCTGGTGCTTGACTCATGCCTGAGAAACCTGAAACTGACAGTGGGCCAGAGTCCCATCCTGCTAGGGCAATCATCCATGGGACCAGAGAAAAGCTGTGCCAGAGGAGCGGAGAGTGTGGCCCCCTCCCACAGCTGGCTGGGGACAGGGAAGCATGAGACTTTTCCAAGGACTAGGTGTGGGTTGTCATGGGCTCTGTCCATTTGGGCCGTCTGGAGGGGTGAGGAGCACAGGGAGGAGGCTGGAGGCATGCCACTGCGCGCGAGGCTGAGGAAGGATGCTCAGAGGACTGCCCAGGACCAGGAACATAGTTGAGGGGCAAACGGGGAGCCTCTGAAGAGTCCATGAAAGGGCCTCAAGAAGGAGAATAGTCAGCTTCATTTGTCCTCTAGGCTAGCAGAGCAAGAAGCCTGGCCAAGCCAAGTGAGGACCATCTTACCTGTACCAGTCAAGGTCCTGGCAGTTCCTAGCCTTGGACTTGAATGGGTAAAGAGAGAGAGTGGTCACCTGGACCCAGAGAGACAACTGAAGGCAGTAGACAGCCAGCAGGAACTGGGACCTTCTTCCAGGGTTGCAGCCCACAGGGATGAAATGGGGAAATAAACATCGTGACCTTAATTTCCTCCTCCCTCCAATCTCTTGCTAGAATTTCCCACCGGCCAAACCTGACCAGAAGCCAGGGGCAAGGGAGCCTGCCCATGTGGCCCTCAGAGGTCATGCTCCCAGGGTCCACAGCATGGTAGAGGGCGGCAATGGATGGAGCCCACACATGCCCCCTCACCTCTCTCTCCTCACCTGCCCCTGCCTTCCTGACTCCAGGATGGCCCGGGGCAGGGGAGGGAGAGGAGGGGAGAAGGTTAATGCCAGGGTGGTGACTTTACTGAGCAGAGACTGGGAGCACTGAAAGGCCTCTATTCCCCAAGAGTAGGAGGAAACGTCCATAGGACCTGCCTACATCTTCATCCAGGGCAGGGCCACCCAGTTGAAGAAAGAGGAAAGGAAGAGTGGGAGACACAAATACGTTGTTTTAATCACTTGCTGCAAGGTGAGCATTCAGTGTTCCGTTTATGCGAATAATACCCCGCTTCCGGAATCTGGTGCTCCGGCTGCTCTCTGCGGGTCCTCCCTGCGCCATCCTCCTTACCTCTGCTTCTGCTTTTTCTTGCTTCCGGAAGGCTCATTGTTTCTGCACCCACACCAGCGCCTCCAGGGGCAGGAGAGGCCCCAGGAGAGAGAAAAATCTCACGGATGTGATGCCAGCTTCTGGTCCTGTTGCCCAGATGCCCTCAGGTCCACAAACTTCTCCTCCTGCTTCTCTGTAGCTGGTGTTGAGCAGCGACAACTGTCCTTTCTCCACCATCATGTCCCCTTGTGTCCCGCACAGCTGTTTCCATCTCTGCATCCCGCTCCTGGCAGTGGGACCCTCGCCTGTGAGTGGCCTGTGAATGGCACGAGACCGCTGACCGTGGCAGTCACAGGGACGGGGCGGGCAGTGCTGCTCCAGCCCCAGGGCCTGGGTTGCAGTGCCCTCCTTCCCCGCCATCCCTCCTACCCCGCCACAGGAAGCCTGCCCTCCGCCTGACAGCAGGGGCCGCACCACGCAGCGCGTGTCTGTCACCATTTGCAGTCTGTCACAGCTTGCCTGACACATTTGGATGGAAAGCGCTAGCCCGTCTCCAGTTGACGCCTGTCAGGCCAACGTGTCTGACACTCCTGGAACAGACCGTAGCCAAAAGTAGCTGTTCTTTTCCAAATTCACTCCCTAACTTTTGCTCCTCCGATTTGGTCTGGTGTTTTCCCTGTGTGAGAGATAAACTTCCATTGGCCCTGCGGCTGGGTCTCTTCACTCGGCAAACATTTACTGAGCACCTGCTAGGTGCCAGGAGCCATATCAGGTGCTAGGGAAAGTTGTCTTCTGAGAGCCCACTCTCCCAGTTCTCGTCCTCTTTCCGTAACTGCTCCCTCCACCCTTCACATAAGGCCGGCCCCCAGGGTGAGCCCTTCGGCCCCATCCTCTTCTCTGTGGGTACACTTCCCCTCCTGGGACACCTGGGCCCATTCCTGTGGCTTCTGCTGCCAGCTCTTGGCTGATGCCCCCTGAAATCCCCGTTTCAGGCCTTCGATGCTTTCCTAAAGTTCACCTGACTCCTCCTGGTCCAACGCTCAGGTCATCCATCAACTTCTCTCCTCTTTTCCTGCCCCTTCACCTTGTTCTGCCTCCTGTCCTCTGGCTCTTGTTTTATACCTTCACTTTCCATTCACGTTGATTGGAAAACACCATCACTGCTTCCTGTGTTCAGCATTCAGTTGGCAACTAAATCCTGTCTGTTCTACCTCACAAAGAGCTTCTCCTGTCTCCTTTAAACCCATTTCCACTGCTTGCACTCAATCTCCCATCATCCACTTGTCAACATGACCCCTACCTCACCCCTCCTCGACTTAAACATCCCCTTGGACTGTTGCCCAAAGGACAAGATCTGGACCCCATCCTGCTGTGAGGCCACATCTCCCACCACTTGCCCCTGAGCCCCAACCTACCCATGACACCAGAGTTGTCACCATTCATGAGAGCCATGTGGGGGTTACCCATGCATAGAAGCTCTGTAGGTGGTGTCACTGAGCTGAGGCTGGTGATGCACTGGATCTGAGGGCTCACGTGAGCCCTCTCAGGGTTGGATGGGAGCAGGGTGATGTTGCCAAGGCCCTGGGACAGAGTGGAGGCCCTGCTGTTAAGGGGGGAAGGCAGGATGAAGCACACAGCATCTATTCCTTCACAGGAACATTGGTTGGGGCCCAATTCAGAGAGAAATTAAGACCAACTTGACAGGCCATCATCTTGCATCAGGTGCTCTGGGAAAGTGCACTTGTCCACAGTCTGTTGAAGGGAGAAATCACTGACCAGAGTGACCCAGGAGCTCCCCTGACATCACTCAGGGTTATGAAGAACTGGGTTGTAGAGTCTGCTTACCTCCACCACCTAAGGGAAAAAATCAGAATGCCCTGTTCTGGTTATTATTGCTATATAACAATCATTCCATATTTAGTGACATAGAACAACCATTTCATTATGCTCCCACTTTCTGTAGATCAGAAATACAGACAGACAATGGAGATAGCTTGTCTTTTCTCTCTTATGCTGGAGATAACTTGAAATCTGGAGGCTGGAATCACCTAGAGGTGTCTTCACTCACACAATTGATAGTTGATACTGGTTTTTGACCAGGACTTCAGCTAGGCTGACAGCCAGAACACCTGCACATGTCCATGAGGGCTGGTCTAGC